TTTTCATTAGGGTATTTTGGTTATTTTAGTACTTAAACAACACAAAAAAAGTATAGTTTATACTGAAAATACTGTTTTAAGAAAAAATTATTTTGTAATCCAAACTACAAAATATAAACTATTGAATTTGTAATTAAGTTTATAATTTTATATGACATTAGACAAGTGAATACATACAATAATACAATGAATCTAAATAAAAAACACTAATTATATAACCACACATTATAAATTTATAATATTATATAATATTATAATTATAAAATGTATTTGGATTAATTGTTTTGACTTACTGATAATTAATAATCAATATTCAACAACCGTTGATTATTTATAATTTAAAATATATAACCTGTTTGATTGAAGTTAACCGTTGATAATTGTTTCCCAAACTCAAAAATAAACTTCTACATTTTCGTTTATCTTTTTAGCTGTTTGGTTCTCTCAATCATTTTCCTTCGGTAAATATCTTTAAATTTTGTTAATTGCGATCATTGTTTTGGAGTTTTTTATACTGGATTTCTGGAAGAAGGAATGGAGGAAGGTAAAGAGCGTTCTTTTGGGGGGTCGTATCTTCGTTTTCGATCGGGGATTGAAGGCAATCGTGTGTATTTCATTTTACCAAAGCGTAAAACTCTTTACTCATTCAACATGAAAGGCCATACTGTTTCAGTTTCTTACTTTCTTTGCCTTGTCCAAGTCCACAAGGATCATGGCATTCGTCTTTCTGGGTGATGATGAGACAGATGTCCAAAATCAAACCAGATCTGAATTAGATGATGAAAGCAAGGATATAATGTGCCTCAGAGTTGTGAAATTGTGATGAAAGATGCAGCGAGTGAGGAGGAGATAGGAGATTTTGATGATAAGCTTCCTTTTGACACGCTAGCTAGGTCGAATTATGGTGCCTAATGTTAAGCGACTATATGAGTTTTCGGGCTGCCAACAAATTGTGTAGATTGGCAGCTCCTTCAAGTCCAGCTTTTGGGGTGCTCTGAAGGCTATAATTATTCTCCTAACTTGGTTAACCTATTGGCGAAAAGGTGATACTATTTGCAATTAATCAGCAGTTTAATTGATCCACCATGTGGTGAAGAAGTATTTCATGAGCATCCCTAATAACGAATACAAAATGTCACAATGCGTTATTCAAAGGGAGATTAGTACGTGATACTAAAAGGTGAAAGACTCCATAATCTTTTGGAATGCTTCACTAAGAAAACCATTCTGCTTCCAAACTTGGTGCCTATTAAATGTGAAAAGGTTTCTGATTGCATCTTCACCTAATTCTTTAGATTGTGTTATTGTTTTACTCCCTAATCATGACAGCAGTTATTTCATTGACTTTATCTTCTAAAAGGGCGATGGAAAATGGACGAGAAGGCATAATTTCTTTGCAGTATTCTACCGCTGGGAATTTAGATTGACTAATCACAATAATTCGACATTCTACTTTCCTGATATGAAGGGAAATTTGGAGGTATTTTTTGAATTGCTTGAGAAGCTTGAGTGTCCTTTATGACTCCTTTCGCCAGAACTTCCAATTAGAATGTGATGGGGAGCTTCTCCCTGTGGTTGTGGCTGGGTTTGTTAGGAGAATGAGTTCACATTTCTAGACCGTATTGCATTAAGATGGATTGCTAGTAACAAATACTCTAAAAAACATTATTAATTATCCGTGCTGTAAGGGTAAGCCCAGAGCTTCCCGCTAGAACAGCTACACGGTAGTTATGATGGACACCCTTGTATCTAGATATATCTCAATCTCTCGGTCCCGAAATAACTGCTTGGAGATACATATCAAATCCCGGATATTTTGCTTGGAATCTTAATTGGCATACCGCGTGGATTCTGCATCGGAACATATAAATACCCCTTTAGGGCCACGCAAAAAGGTGATTAAAAACCAACCCTAAGCTCCTTGTTTCTCCGTTCCAAAGGTAACCCCGATTATTGCTGACTTAAGCATCGGAGTGTCTACCCCGAGGATCCACCTCGAGGCTTTGCAGGTTAATCCAGAGTGCAGATACGAACTGAAGAAGGACTTCCGGTTTGGTGCAGTTACACGTGCATCGCGAGGTTTGATGCCTTGTAGTTTATATAATTAACATCAAGTTCAAGCATCCTATTTGACACAACCACCTAATTAGTGTTCATGTAATTAAGTTAATATCATTCTAATTTCTAAATAATAACTGCACCAACATAATTAATCCATAGCTAGAATAAGCCGCCGCGAACATAAAACGTTTATCATCCACGTGACATGTCCCATAAGAAACTACATAAAAGTGGGATCAAGAGGAAACGTAAACCTCTAAAAAACACTATAAATACATTTAGTTTATATAATTAACATCCACTACAAATATCCCATTCAACACAACCACTTAATTAGTGTTCATGTAATTAAGTTCATATCATTCGAGATAACAGCTCCACCAACATAGTCCATAGCTACAATAAGTCAACATAAACATAAAAACCTGCATCATCCATGTGACATGTCCCAAAAGAAATGACATTAAAGTGGGATCATGTTAAAGTTATAACGTTTCATTGTGTGGTGAGGACTGGGTGGTGCAACAATCGGGGATCTAGCAGCAGCAGTTTCTCCTTGCATGCCAAGAGGGTCATGATGAGACTCTGCAGGAGAGACAATAGGAGTTACTAACTGCAGATATACCCCAAAAAAATTAAGATATGTCATACTCAGTACTAAATAACTCACTATCTCCACCAGTTGAGGCAACATTCGAGGATCCTGCAGGTTAAAGAAAAAGTTCAAACAAAAATATTCCATAATTAGAAGATTTGGATATGGTTCAAGCCAAATCATTCTTCTGGATTAAGAATAAGGCGCATGGTTGTGCCTTTTCATTTCATGAGTGGAAGCTAAATCCAGTTGAGTGTGTTCTGTCAGTGAGAAGATACAAACGATTGCTGAAATTGTTCCATAAACAGCCGAAGGGAACGGTAACAGATTAAAGATCGGAGGGGTGCGTGTTTTCTCATTGATAAGCAGCAGCAAGAACAGTTGTCATTTCCATGAAGAAGATTGGTAGTCTGTTTTGTTTGTAGCGACTTTTGTGATATTAATTAATATGCAGATTGTGTTAGGTGTTTAGCTGGTTTTGACATTTTAGCATTCTAGCTGCTATTTTATTTGTAATGAGCAGGAGTACCCTTGTGCTCCATAAAATAAATTTATCTTTGCTGATCCAAAAAAAAAAAAAAGAAGAATGTCAAAAATACTATAATAATGCAGCAAAATATATATACCTGCCAAATTTCCTGTTAACATTTCAACGTCCGGCAAAGAGTTAAGGAAAGTATCCCAGGCAGAAGAATTGAGTGGTACATCCTTTTGAATTTAAGAGAAAGAGTTGAAAAGATTCAGATAAAGGGCAGTAGAAGGAAAACATGAAATGGTATAGAACTTTTGAAAACATGCACATAATGTGTGGCTTAGGGGCAGAATCAGGGCCCATTTCTGGGTACGTGTAAGGCTGTGATAAAATGATACAGGAGAACCTATTTTGTTGATGTACACCATGTCATGTTTAACTTCTGTTTATGCCTAATTTTGTTATGAAATGCTTATGCTAACTCTCATGACTTGATCTGTATATGGCTAATTATCTAAATTATGCATAAGAGAAATCTATCATAAGCATCACTATTCCTCTTCTAAATTCACTAGATTGTTTTTAGCATGTATTAAAATTGACTAATAACCATATAGGGCTCAGTTATAACTTGAAGCCAAGCTCACCGTTGTGTAAATCATCTCATTTCAGACTAGCCAGCTTAAGAGGTGTGTCAAGTGTAGCTGACGTCGATCCTACTACTCTAGATTAGTAATGCAAACCTGTATATTTACCAAAACTAGAATTTGGGTCCATTATTTTGTAGGCCTTTTGTATGTAATTAAGCTTTACTATATCTGTTTGTAAACACTTTATGCTCATCTACTTTCCAGTTACATGCAGTCTTTTGTTAAACCTTTGTTTGATGCTGAAATTTATTAGTTATTTCAGTCACGTACAAACTAGCTTAACTATATTGTATTCTCTTTCAGGAACTTACGTATATTTATAGCTATATGTGATTCCAAATTCATGCTTTAGCTTATCTAATTACTGTTATTCTTGTGCTAAGCTTTTCCTCTGCACTACTGTGATTTTAAATGCTAAAAACTACTGTACCAGATTGTGCTGAAACTAGCTTCATTACTAGAGTGTGAGTACACGCACACTAGTGGACAGTGGACTCCATAGCCGTTTAGTTTACTCTCAATTTATTTTTTTGGTGTTTATATTTGCACTCTGTTTGTTTAAGTCTCTTAACTAGACTCTGTTCTCTTTCAAGAACTTACATAAGTAAGAACTTTATGCTTTGGCTTATCTAATTACTGTTATACGTAAAATCTTCATCAAGCCCCTTGAATTCTTACCATTGAACTTTCTTCATTTCTTTCCTGTATTCTTCACTAAAGGCTTTGAACATTTCATTGATTCCGGATGTCTCACAAAAGGCCTCAAATTCAGTGCGTTCAAACTTCATTTACAATTAAAACATATAAGAAGAAAATCCTAACGAGGTAGCTCAACGGTTAAAAATTTAAAACTCTAAATTGGAGATTTGAAATTTGAGCTTTGAGTCAAGTGGGAAAGGATTTGGGAATAGGGGAGCTCCTCTTGTATAGCCCATAATCAAATATACCAAAAAAAAAAAAAAAAAACAAAACAGGAGGAATTTTAAGAATATAATTCAAGTAAACATCAATCATTCAGAACATAGATTCAATGATTAATATGAAACCAATTTTTTTTCCCACAAATAAACTATTATATTATAGAGAAATAAGCTTCCACAAACAAACTATTATATTATAGAGAAATAAGCTCATTCCTTATGACAACACAAATAAAAAGATCCTGAACAGTAGAACCTATAGAAAATCCTCAAAATAACATACAAGAAAACTGCAAAACAAAACATAGAGCAGTTTCTGGAGGAAAATTTGCTGCAGCCCTAGGCCTGGAGAGTAAGAGGGAAGGTGGAAATTCAGCTGCAAGCTCAAGGGCCAATCATCTAGTCATGGGAGCTTCCTTTTTTATTTTATTTATTTTTAATCAACTCATGGGAACTTCCTTTATATTAAGACTAATCCTGCATGCTATAGCTAATTACGAAAGCCATGATAACTATTATGTTGATGTACACCATGTCATTTTTAACTTCTGTTTATGCCTAATTTTGTTATGAAATGCTTATGCTAACAGTCATGACTCGATCTGTATTGCTAATTATCTAAACTATGGCTAAGAGAAATCTGTTATGAGCATTTCTATTCCTCTTCTAAATTCAGTAGGTTGTTTTTAGCATGTATTAAAATTGACTAATCAGAATAGGTATAAGAACAGCTAGTGAACACTTACACATCAGAGAATCAAATTCGGATTGGTCTGAAATTAACCTTAAACATACCAGCAGTAACTTCCATTTAGCATCACTTAAAGAGATGCAATTCTGCTTCTAGCTCCAGTAATAGGACCCACAATAGTTTCCTGCTCTCTTGTGTATGCTCTTGATCTATCATTATTCCTTTTCCTCTAACTATATACAGGAGAAAAACAGAACACCCAAATATTAATTATACACATCTTATGACTATTGGACTCAATTCACATTATCTAACTTGTATCTTAACAAAGCCGTGGCTCTGATACCATTTTGTCACATCCCAGTCCTTCAACCTTAGCCAAAAGTGTTAGGTTTGAGCTGTAACTTTTAGATTAACTCCATTTTAAATGGTTGCAAACATGCTTTTTAGAGAAAAGATAGTTTTAGGTCTCCCTTGGCAAGCTTTTGAAAACCAATTCATGATAAATAAGCCTTAAACTTCTGTAAAAGACTATCTTTAAATATAAAAACAGTTTAAGGATAACTTTTAATGCTCTGATAACTAAAGCTTTAAAGAACAGATAATCACCTTTGCAGCAAACTAAGGAGCTTAGGTTCCAATTTAAAATACATACTTTGAATATTTACACAAGTCCTTTTGCAGTCCGTGTAGACACTTACTTATACAGCAAACTCTATCATAATAAACTAGATTAAGAATCTGCTCTTAAGCTTACTTGATGCCCCATTTGGTAAACAAAACATATTCTAATAATGCAAAGTTCTTTTACAAGACATTGAGCCAGGATTTAGCTTTGGGCAGATACAAGTTACCTCAACAAGCCTGAAAAGCTTGTTCACTACCAGCAACCGTAGGAAATTCTTGGTCGCCCAAAAATTGTTGATCTCTTCACTAGCTAACTTGAAACAGGGTGAACAATATACCATGAGCTATGAAGCCCAATAAGCATAGGTTATAAATTAGGGCCCGTTTGGTGTTGTTAGATCTTTTAATAAACATTATATTGAAAAGAATAAGTTGCAAAAGTGCTGTTTTTGAGAAGTTAAAATTATTTGGTAAAATTTTTTATAAAAGTACTTATAGAATGAAAAGTTGTTTGGTAAAATTTTTTTATAAGAGATGTTTTAATCTTAAAATCGCTAAAAATGACATTTTCTTTAAAAAAAACATTGTTTCTCTCCTCTTTTTTTTGACATTTTTATAGGGTTTTAATTCTTTTTTAATTTAATTATGTTAAAATTGATAATTACGAATGAAATTTTTATATTTATAAAATGTAAGTGTTAGTAATTAATAATTTCATATTAATAGATAAATAAATGTTTATATTTTAATATTAAAAAATAAAACATACTATATTTAAATCACATAATATTTCATTTAAAAATACAAATTTATTATTCTTGATTAATTTTAATATCATTTAAAAATACATCAATTCAAAATAAAGCCTAAATGAAGAAAAATTGGTTTTTTTTTTTTCATTTTTCAATATCAGCAAAATGAAAAAATTGATTAAATCTTCCTTAATTTAGAGAGGAAAATCAAATCACATTGTGTTTTTTTTTTCCTTCCTCCAATTCAAACCATATTTGTTGCTATTGACTCAATCACGTTGTAACATGTACTGCTTTCTTTATTTAAATTAGTTGTTTTGCTTTTATCATTTTAGTCATTTATGCCAAAAAAAAAAAAAACCCAAAGATTCTTGGTAAATACCCCACCTACAAACCATTATTCTCAAATACGCTATGCCATAACAATCATTGCAATGGTAACATAAATTAAGATCCATTCTTACAAGCCAAAATACTCAAATAGCAATTCCTCAAACCAAGTTAAATGGAAAACAGAGCAGAACATAAAATGACATGGTCCAAACAAAACAGAATAGAAGCCTAGGAACAAACTAACTAGCTAAAGCACAAGAAACGATTGTTGCAATTGCTACTAGCCTCAGTCATAAAATACAAGATAGATAACCTTCAATAGGTACGAAAGAACTACATGGTTGCTACCGGCTCCTTCCTTGTCTTCCATCTTAGAGCTTAAAGTTTCTCTGGCATGCATCCCAACCCCTGTAAACAAATCCCATTATTATAAGCTGCAAGTAAAATAATGGCTCAATTCTGCGAAGCAGGGATTCCTGAACCTGCAAAACTCAAAAAACTTCATAAGATAGAATGGCTTTTAAAGCAAGGAAATTTAAGACGGGAAATAAAAAGAGAGTTCTTTAGAAACAAAATCAAATCAAAGCGATCAATTTTGGTGTTCAATAGCCCGGATGTGTGACGATCACAAGAGTAAGTACCTGATTGTACACAACCACCCACACACAAAGGCACTAAGATCTACAAACACATAGACACAAATGTTGAATAATGGAAGTATGGATACACATAATAACACCAGAAACTAACAACATCTATAGCTCTATATTTTCTCTCCCTTTATAAAGCAAGGTGGAATTATCCTCCAAATTATGAAGTTTTCATGCTAACAAAAAATAGAGCCACAGGATTCCAGAACATAAATATCAGAAAACAGAGCACTACTGGAATTGACATACTTAGGCACCAAAAAACGTCTTATGCGAAACACCACAACCAGCAGCCACACTGCATTCTTCTAAGCAAAATCAGGGAGAGCGTAAGAAATAAAGCACAGATTCTCCAATAAAAAATCACGATTTACAAATTATTTGCCATAAACTTACTATCCAAAAATAGAAACAACAAATTAAAAATAGAAGAAAAATGCGAAAATGGCAGAGTACAGGACGCAAACTCTTCTAACATGAGGAAGTAGAAGAAGAAACATTAATAATCAGTAAAAAATCTTCAAACAATCTTCAATCAAAAACAAAAGAAAGGGGAGCAATGGGAGCTACCAGTGGCTTTGCAGATCTGGTAGCAATGGATCCACGATCTCACGGTAAGTAACAAATCCTCAAGATCCTCAAGCTCGTCACGGTTTCATGATAACTAACAGCAATTATGGATTTTCAAGGGGAAGACGAGGATGATCGCGGTGGTCTGGCCAGTCCTCGGCGGTTGTCGACGGTAATCACGTGGCCCAGATCTGGTAGAAGACAAGGAACGAGATGGGATTTTCGGTTAAACCTTTCACCAACTCATACTACCAACCAACAATCATCATTCATCACCACCAAATTAGTAGCAGAAACACCAAAAAAGGAAAAAAAATCAGAGAAAAGGAAGGAGACTCACAGAAGAAAAAGAAGGAGAAATGGGATTTTGGCGCTGAGTTGTGCTTTTTTGCTTTGAAGCAGTTAGGGAGAAAGAAGGCCAGTGCCTAATGGTGGGGATTTTTCGGTCTGCTTTGGAAGAAGATGAGCAAGAATGCAAGGAAAAGAAACGCAGGATTCGGCTGCTTTAGAAAGAAAGAAAGAAATGGGAGTCATGAATGAAACCCTATATATAGTGGTTTTTTTTTTCTTTTTGTAAATAAAAGAAAGTATGAGGATAAAATGAAAATACCATGTTAATTTCATTAATCTTAAGCCAAAAGCTCCCGTGAAAGCACGAAATTTGTGCTCCGAGATTTGCAAAGGAAGGGAGAGAAAGACCAGCTTTTGAGAAGGTACAGCATTTTCTACAAGTTGTGGTGTTTGGTGCAGTTTGTGCTTTTGAAACTAAAAAGTTCTTCCTACAAACTACACCAAACATACCTAAAAGCCATAACTGAAACCTTACTTTAATTTAATAAGTTCCATCAATTAACCTACATTATTCTTCTATATAAAACTTATGTCATGATACAAGAACTAGGCATAGACAAATCATCATCCCGAAAATAATCTACATTCTCTAAATTAGAACTATCAAATTTATAATAGGTGAGTTCAATCCAAGCAAATGCTTACTTGGTCTCCATTCGAGAACAACCCACAAAATATGTTCCTTTACCTTAGGAAGCACAGAATCAGTTCCATCAAACACTTCTCATCAATACTGAACAGTTTCATTAGTGTCATAAATAAACATGACATAAACACTTCCAATAACCATAAGATAATTGTAGGGTAGCCTTATGCTAATTCAACATGTAGATGAATGCAAGTTCTTATCTATGGATTTTCCTTGTGGGCATACATTCCACCAAACCAATGGTCCAACCAATGATTCTTCCTATTGCGCAATGGATCTAGATATCTTTCTTCACACTTCCAGTATAACTGGGTTCTACCTAGCTCAGTAGCTCAGGTATCTGTATAGAAATTTTCTTTCTTTACTCCAAATACATTAGGAGCATCATTCTTTTACTCCAGGTAACTTTGGGAGCATCATCATTCTTTACTCCAAGTAACTTTAGGAGTATCTTACCTAGCCATTAGCTTAGGTATCATACCATAGATTCTATGCAACATGTAAAATAATTCATTCTTATGTGATAAATCGATTCTCATTCTTTAGCTCATATAAACAACACTCTATGCACTATCATGCTTGTACTTTAATTATAGCAAGACAATCTAATATTAAATCACAGTAGAATAGCACAGTAGCTTACGCCAATTAAAGCTTTCAAAGGCCATATCTACATGTCCAACATGTAGTCTCAACTTTAATCCAACATTGACTTATAGGCTAGACATGGCTAAACAATTAAATTCAACTTGCATATTAACTAGTCCATTTAGTATCTTTAGTTAATAGGTTCCTAGAACTTCAAACTTGATTCACAAACATAACAAATCATATATGGTTTGGACACAACATCTAACCATGTCCTAATCCATATGTTTAATTGCAGGTTAAGTATTCTTCTTTATTAAGCATATTTCTTGCACTGGCTTTAGTCGAGGATTATATTTAACCAAGAAAATATCATTTTAAATTCAATTACAGCTACCAAAGCCATAACCTATACTTACCTTACAAAGTCCAATACCACAAATGTGTAGCTGCTCCTTTGGCTATTCTCCTTTTCTAGCTCTACCCACAAATGCAAGAGTTGAACAAACATTTCTTCATTTCTTCCAATTTTACTGTCACTGCAAAGTTCCCCAAATTTCCTTTCATTTCTTTCGGTTGAAAAGAAAAGAGAAAGGGAAATTGTTAAGGTTGCAAGGCTTCTCTCGACTGAAGAAAAGCAGTGAAGTCATAGTGTGGTAAATGGCATGAAATGGGTTTTTAATTCAACCAAAATTGTTGACGTGCCAAAATGGATGGAGTGGCCATCTATCCAAATGATGTGGGATAGATCACCAAGGTCTACATAGAAATTAACTAGGCTCGGAGGGTCAGTTAAGCATGGGGAAGGTGTTAGGCACCCCACAACTTCCATATAATATGGTTACCACATACTTTAATTTTGGGCACTTTTCAATTTTATATCAAAATAATAATTTCCAAAATAAACAAAAAAAAAAAAGAAAAAAAAGCCATATTGGTAGCAAAGTGATGAATAGCATAAATGAAACAAGAAAGAAAAAAAAACAAAAAAAAACCTATGACTTGACGAACAAAACAGGTGAGAAACAAATGAAGAATAAAAATATTAAAGGCGCAGGCAAACCATGAAAAGAAACAACTAAAAAAAAATTGCAATTACCCATAACGAAAGAAATGGAAATAAAAAAAAACACACACACACCTGAAGAAGTGTAGAAATTTGATATTATTTGTTTGCAGAAAGAAACTTTAAGAGAGTACAAGATTTCCTTCCCTTTTTCTTTTTTTGCAGTCTTTTTCCTATTTTTCTACTCTCTTTCTCTCTCGATTTCTCCAATCTTCCTTCTCTCTCAATCTCTCGGCTCTCCTCTCTCCAATTTTTGAAATCTCCCTCATTAGAAGCCGAAGCTTCCCCTTTTATACAGAAATAGGGAGAACTCAAACCCTTTTCTAATTCTAAATTCTTATCCCAATCCCTAAAATTACAGATAATGATTTAGCCTTATTAGAATTTGGAATTCTAAAACTAATCTAGTTCTTTACAAATCTTCCCTCTTTTAAGGCTAGATTTATACCTTTAAAATATCAGGACTCCCAATTTGAATCGGCTTCGAAAACTTCTTTTGTGACTCTTGGTAAGGGCTTCAAATCCGAAAATCTTTTGTTGTGTTGTTGTGATCTATCTAAACTTTGAATGGATTTGTAGATAAATAAAAAGAATTTGGGAATTTTGGGAGAGTGGTTGGCGGTAAAGCAAGAGGAAGCAAGAATCGTGAAAAATGAGGGCTAGGGTTTGTCTGAATCCAGCCTCTTTTTTTATTTTTTAGCCCATTGGTCAAAACGACGTCGTTTTGCCATTTTCTTCTCTCAGCCCTTCAAGTTTCCAACCTTTATAAGAATAATCCATTGCCTTCCAATTTTACATTTAGCCCCCATTAAAATTGGTTTATGACAGTTGCCCCCTCTTTACTTTTCTTTTTGTAGAAAAAAAAGTAAATAATAAAAGAATAACCCAATTTTAAGCTTTGAAAACAAGGTATAAGTGAAAGTTGCAGTCTTCATCTTATCTTTTGCGAGATGTGGTCTTTATCTCCTCTTCTTCCTTGGATGCAATCTTCATCTAGGATGTGACTTCTAAGATGCGGTCTTCATCTTTATCCTTTACGAGATGTGGTCTTCATCTTTTTCTTAGATGCGGTCTTCATCTAGGATGTGACTTTTAAGATGCAGCCTCTATCTTATCCTTTGCGAGATGCGGCCTTCATATTTTCTTCTTCTTGAGGTGCAGTCCTCATCTAGAATGTGACTTTTAAGATGCGGTCTTCATCTCCTCTTCTTCCTAAGATGCGATCTTCATCTAGGATGTGACTTCTAAGATGCGGTCTTCATTTTATCTTTGGCAAAATGTGGTCTTCATCCCCTTTCTTCCTTAGATGCGGTCTTAATCTAGGATATGGCTTCTAAGATGCAGTCTTCATCTTATTTTTTGTGAGATATGGTCTTCATCTTATCTTTGATGAGATGCAGTCTTCATCATTTCTTTGGCAAGATGTGGTCTTCATCTCCCTTTCTTCCTTAGATGCGGACTTCATCTAGGATGTGACTTCTAAGATGCGATCTTCATCTTATCTTTGATGAGATGCGGTCTTCATCTTTTCTTCTTCCTGAGATGCGGTCTTCATCTAGGATGTGGTTTCTAAGATCCGGTTTCTAAGATGCGGTCTTCATCTTATCTTTGATGAGATGCGGTTTTCATCTTTTCTTCTTCCTGAGATACAGTCTTCATCTAGGATGTGGCTTCTAAGATGCAGTCTTCATCTTATTTTTTGCGAGATGCAGTCTTCATCTCTTCTTCTTCCTAAGATGTGGTCTTTATCTAGGATGTGACTTTTAAGATGCGGTTTTCATCTTATCTTTGCCAAGATGTGGTCTTCATCTCCCTCTTCTTCCTTAGATGTGGTCTTCATCGAAGATGTGACTTCTAAGATGCGATCTTCATCTTATCTTTTGCAAGATGCAGTCTTCATCTCTTTTTCTTTCTCAGATGCAGTCTTCATCTAGGATGTGACTTTTAAGATGCGGTCTTCATCTCTTCTTCTTCCTCAGATGTGGTCTTCATCTAGGATGTGACTTTTAAGATGCGGTCTTCATCTTATCATTTATGAAATGCGGTCTTCATCTCTTCTTCTTCTTGAGATGCGATTTTCATCTAGGATGTGATTTCTAAGACACAACTTCGTCTTTTCTTTTCTGAGATGCAACTTTATCTCTTCTTCTTCCTGAGCTGCAACTTTATCTAGGATGTGATTTTCTAGGACACAACTTTGTCTTCTCTTTTTTGTTTTTCTTTTTTTCTTTTTTTCTTTTTTTAAGATGCAACTTGATCTCTTCTTCTTTGACAAGGATCTTGAATCAAATTAGAATTTCTTCAAACCTCAAATAATTTGTGCCTCTTGCCAATGTTCGATTCCATCTTAAACTTTCATCAACATCATGACTTTAAACTTTACAGGCTCAAGAGATTAACAAGTGTTCTTTAGTGTCCTCTTGAACCGTTATTAATCTTTTCCCTCTCTAATGATGCTTTAAATTTTGTGAACATGTTTAATTCACCCATACTATCATCAAGAATTCAATGCATCTACTTGTCATTATTTTTTTTTTAAATGTTAAATCCTACATGCAAAAATGATGATTTTTGAACCTTTCAAAGATGTTGAAATCAATATCAAATGCAGTGATATTTAAAACAACCATGGGTAAGATTAATGAAAAATCTTGTGAAGCACAATGGATTATATGAAGAAATAATATGATTTAAATTCCATGAGTAACAATTGCCAATTTGACCTAGAATACAATTAAGATGGCCCTTTCATACAATTTTTTTTTCTCTCCTTTTTTTTTTTTCAAAAGCAACTCCCTAAACACAAACTTCTTTTCTCA